TTTTATACCCATGGTGTAGTTTAATATGTTCTTCTGTATTTCCTGTGAATTGCTAAGGTTACTTTATAGGTACTCTTTTGTTCTTCCATAATTCCTGGTTATCTCTCCCTCTTATTTTGATAGTAGCAAATGCCAAACATCTTCCACTGCAAACCAAAAGTTTCATTGCATCCTCCTCCTTGCTAGTTAACTACTATTTTTTCTCAGGTGGCAATTTGCCCATTCCCAGGGTATAAATCATAATTGATTTAAATCAATCACAACAATCCTGTTTTCCGTTGCCATTTCCTTTGTTCCAGGGGAGAGTATGTTACTCAGTCCTGGCCAATAAAATATATAAGGAGAAATTTATTGGAATAGGTTTTTCTCCCTGATAAAATAAGACAGAAAATTTTGCTCTTGCCTTTTTATATTTCTACATTTTTCCAATGATTTCTTGCTCTTGCTTTATATACTATCTTCCCTCATCTCTTTATGTACTATCTTACCTCATCTAAGTATATTTAGCATGTTTATTTTAAAACATTTGTCTTTCTGTTATAATAATCTTCATCATATAGTATATGTTGTTTGGTTTGGTATCTTTCTTTCTGTTAATTTTTCTTTTCACGTGTCTGGGGAGCTTGTGCTCCTCTTTCAGGTAATGTGTATTTGGGTCAGGTTGAAAACATATAGTCAGTATGTGTCCATTAGTGTGTGTTCCTTAGAGTGTGAGTTTAAGGAGAGAGGAATGAAAGAACCCCAGAGATGAGAGACCAGGTACCACAAAGCCACTTCTGATCACTGTGGCCAATCCACTCATCCCATCACATCATGAACAACTTTTTCCTTTTTGTTGATTAGCCCTAATTCACCTTAATAATTCCTGTTTCTGCTTTCTTTCTTTCCACTGAAGAATTGTTTAGTTTCTCTGAGCAAGAGCAAAGCAAGTCAAACATTTCTGAGATTATTTGCTCTTAACAGATAAGATTTCCAGCACTTTCCCTTTATCATACAGACCATATGTAGACCATACAATTATAGTCCAAACTGGAACACTTTTGACTGGAAGAGTGAGAGCTAGGGAAAGCAGGCATTAATCAGGGCTTTCCAGGGCAAACTGAGTTATATGGTCCCTGTATTCAACATAGATGAACCTTGTGTCTGAGGGCAAGAGCAGGTCTTTGTATCCCCTGGCCCTTAGCAGGCATTCCAAAATGATTACTGAACTCTGGGCCACTCTTGTAATTTATACTTTGATAGTATCATTTATCTCCTCCATCTCTCCGAGGCTTTCTGAATCTATTCTCATATCAATCCTAGCTGTGTTTTTGTGTGCCTTTATATTCATCCACATGGTTTCCTCTGTGCTTCCAACTTCCAACTGATATCTTTCCATACATATATGTAAAGTTTTAGAATAGAGCTTTTCTGCCTCCTTTGCACTTAATTCTTCCCTCTTTGACAAATTATGCTCTTCCTATTGCTGTGTTATACACTTAAATCCTTTGCTATCCTAGTTCTCCAGGGTTTCCTCATCACCTTGACATTTTCTAATGTCAATAGGAACAAGGCATGTAAAGCTAAATGAAATGAGTTATTGGTTCTTTTAAATTTCATAATTGTTTCTCATTTATTCCATCAGACATTTCAGGATATACTTTAAGGACCTGTCTCCTCACATCCTCCACTTTCCCAACAAACGACATTAACAAAAACAGAACATGAACCACAACATTAATACAATTTTAAGACTTCTGAGGCATCATATATAGCAGTATTAAGGCATTATTAAAAGAAGTAAACAACCTGGGCTTAGGCTTTTATTTTTTTAAAGAGAGGAGTTAGAGAAATGTGCAGATGGATGTAACTTGGAAATTTTGGAGTAATGAGCCATAATAATCTACTCTTACAAGTTCTTAAGTGTAATTTAGAGATAATAACATGATGCAGTGTCACTGGTCTCACAGAAATTAGGTTTACCCTTTTAAAAAAAAAAACTTTCCACAAAACATCAAATTAATTTACGTAGTATTTAATCTCCAACAACAATGAAAAGAAAGAGAGAGAGAGAGAAAGAAAGAAAGAAAGAAAGAAGAAAAGGAAAACTCTATACTTTTATTTTTTTAAAACTTTAAGTAATGAAATGTACTATTCATATAAAAGTATACAAAGGAGTATATATAACATATATATGTACCAGGTTTGTTCTTAAAAGAAATATAATTAACTAGCATTCAATTCCCTATTTTTAGTTTTGCAAGGCCTTGAGTTATCTGAGCCCTCTGTTCTCTTGCCTTCGGGATACAGTGAATCTTAGAATTTTACATAATTCTCTCTAAGACAGGGAAAGGTGCCCTAAAATATTTATGTAAGGCCAATATAGTTTATATAGTTTAACATTCTTCACAGTTGAATATATTATCCACTGAAAGAATTAAGAGAGACTTTACTATCTTTAATAAAAACAATAGAAATAGCATATCCAAAGTCTTGGTCATCTAGGAAGTCTGAGTTGAGAGGAAACTGGCAGGGATGCCTACCCTAAAAAATATCTTTCTCATCACCTATCACAGTGTCTGAAATCCCACCTTTGTAATTGCTGTGTTGAATCATGAAATCTTTTAGGTATCAAAAATCTCCCATCATAATTGTTACTCCATGAGGGGGTCATGTCTTATCACTAGCACAGTTTCTGGCACATAAACAGTGTTCAAGAAAATGTCTGCTGAATAAATATTGAATAACAAACATTGCAGAGGCCATTGGGAAGGATGATACTTGAAGCTCATGTTCAACTAACACTTGTTTGATAAACTGAAGAGAGTAATCAACCTATAATTTCTTAACCAAGAAGTGTGAGCACTTTAAGCTAGATCACCCAGGCTCTTGGTATCTCTATTTTTCCAATTCTGGTTACACTTGATTATATTTTTGGAGGTAGGGCGTGTGGACTTGAGAGATCAGCAAAAAGGAGACAGCCATTTAAAGAGAATTGTTCTCCAAATTAATATCATTTAATTCTTTAATTATGGTTGTAACAGTTATCATTTTTATAATGCTTATGATATACAAGCTACAACTAAAAGCGTGCTTACATTTTTGTAAATGCATATATAAGCTTGTTATAACTTTATTGTGGTATGATGTTATCTATGATTCGAAGGTGTGAATCCCTAGAGTGACATGTAATTTCCACTTATATGTTAACTATTTTTGTGAAGTATAGAATAATCCAGAATCCTTTCTTAAGCTATGTTTCAATATCCTCTTCTTTGTATTCTTTCTCGCTCTTTCTTTTAACCATCGTCTTTCCTTCCTTGTGTTTCATTCCCTTTTATGTGCTAACCTTAATGTTCTAAAAAGAGGGCAAGAGAGTGGATGGAGGTTGTGTGATACAGATGGAGGAAGAAAAGAGGGAAGAGACAAGTTTGGGGCCGATATAAACGTACAATCTAATTCTTTCATAACATATGCAGGTTTGCAAGATTTTTTAGGTGAATGTATAATGCAAGGGTGAAGTTGTATGTACTGCAGAGAAAAGGGGTGAAATTTCTTAATGTGAAAAACAAAAAACAAAAATTATATCAAAACACAAAATAACTGTTCATGTTCCCAATTATCATCATCTTTTTTGCTATTAAAAAAAAATCCTACTTCTCTTTCCTCTGTGATGTATGTGCATGTCTGACTTGCATGGAAATAAAGACGGGAGAGAGGAGGAGGATGTTTAATGCAAAATAAAATCCATTTTGTAAACATGTTCTTCATTCCATATTGGCATTCCTTTAGGTGTTTATGTAAGATTTCTCCTTGTGTGTTTTATACAGGCATACGAGTACAAGATATATGAACACACCTAATGTGTACTACCCCTCATTTCCTTTTTTTGAACTATGTAGACCAGTAGACAGTGATAAGAAAATTCCTTAAAGACAGAGTGAGGATTCCACAGAGTACATTTTTATTAAAGGATGCAGAAAATCGTGTGTATGGTTACATGTCAACATTTTCAAATCATACTCTAAGACAGTGAAAAATGTTTAACATTTTAAAAGTTTTTTTTTTTCAATCACAAACGGCATATATACTTCCTAAGAACATATGGAACATAAAAAATAGAAGACAAAAATTCTATCTCACTGCCCCTTTTAATATTTTGGCATATCCCTCCCCTCCAGTCACGTTATTTTTTTCATTTAAAAAAAAGTTGCCACCATAACAACCCCCACCCCCTCCCAAGGAAGGTTAATTTATGTAAAAAAGTGAGGTCAATTAATAGATTTCATTTCAGAAATCCGCTAAAGGATAGAAGAGCCATACTGGCCCCTGGCGCAAACCTAATCATATTAATTGACCTCTTTGTCAGCCCTGTGTGTAGTGTTGGAAAAGATTCCTTTGATGGGGATGAGAGCCTCCCTTGTTGAACGATGGTTTTCATATCAATTATTAAATATGTACATGTTTGGAGCTCAATATGTCTTCCAGCGCTGCTTGTGGCAGCTTCCTTCGTTGACATGGGCTGCAATGGCTGCTAAACCCTGCCATGTCAAAAGGAAGGAGTGGGGGAGACGCCATTTGCAAAGCCGGAAATGATTAAAATCTCAGGGTTGAGACCATTCCCAGTCAAGCAAGGGTTTGCCAAGAGCACAGTTCCTGCTTCTGATGTCTTCTCTGAAGAGCATAGAATGGAGGTGTGTCTCTCATTCCATTGAAAGTAGGCTCTCTCCAGCTGCTGGTGAGCCAAGGGGGGGAGCGAGCCACTGCCGTGTCAGGCACCCGTGAAGCGCGCTAAACGAGAGGTCAGCAGTGAGCCCAGCTCCGTGGCCTAGACTCACCAGGGTGGGGGGAGGACCCTGCCGGCCTCCGTCCTCTTCCGCTCGCCTCAGGTGCGGCACGAATCCCTCCGCCTCAGCGAGCGCTCCCGGTAGTGCTGCGATCGGCTTTTCGGCAATACCCGGATGGAAGCATAATGGCCGCCATCAGGGACTCGCAGGCAATGGGGACCACGACAGGTATTCCCCGTGAGCGGGGCCGCCCAGACCTGTTAGGATGCCGGGACTTATAGAGAGCCAGCCAGGGAGCAAAGGGCGAGTTTGTGGGGGCTGGAGGACCCCCCGAACCCTCTCAGGGTTCCGCCTCTCGTGATAGGAAGCGTCTGTTAAATAGTCCCGGCCATTCAGCGCTTCCGCCTAACTTGTCGCAAAGTTTTTCTAGAGAAGTCGGTCCTTTTTCTAGGCGCTCCTAGGCTGCCAGAGCTAACCTTCAGTCCTTTAGCCTGGGCTTGCTTTACGTCGAGGCTTTTTGAACTCCGCACTCTCCCCACAGTCCAGGAACGGGAGCGGGAGCGCGGCACAGTGTGCCTCCGCGAGCCCGAGGGGCAGCCGAGCCCCGGAGGAAGGGGCGGATCGGGCGCGGTGTTTGGGACGGAGCGGGGCGCGCGGCGCTCGAAGCACCCACTCGGCGCGTACCGGGGCTGGTGGAGACTGCTTGGGCACCCCTCAGACCGCACCCCTCGAGCTGTAGGTTCGCAGGTCCACGGCACCCCGACTCGACGGCGTCCCCATTGTGGGTTCAGTCTGTGGTCTTTGGAGGTCTTTTTGTTGTTGTTGCAGATATGCTCAAGTCTCTGGCGCGCGCGCCCTCCTCCAGAGTTGGCCAAGGGCGCTCTTCCGTGCAGACCCCAACCACACCCAGTGGCAGATGGATTTCTTTGTAACTGGCTTTCTTACTTGTAGGGTCCATTTTGAGTCTGTTCTTAACATGATGTCCTTATTGTCAAGTAGTAGACAGTCTCTTCCTAGATGGCTATGGTAATTGAAAATATATAGGATGAATGTATGTAAGGTAAAATGTTATAGCTCTTAAGTAGACCAATGAAACAAATACGGTAGCTTTAACGTTCTGAATGCAAAAGTCCAGGTTCAGTTTTCTTTTTAGGTTTAAATTTGGGGGGCGTTTAGTGTTTGTGAACAATTTTAGCGAAAACATTCGTTGGGTATGTTTGGATATCAAAACTTAAAAAAACACTAGAAAAGTAAAATAAGTCAATGTTTAAAGAATACATAATAGTGTTGAACTCTGAGCGGTTGTCATGATGATGAAACATACCACCAAACTGTACATAAGGGTGGGAATTTCGTTAACTTTGAACGTCTATGTGTTAGGCCTAGTTTACTGAAATGGTTGAATTGTTTTTCATGCAGGAAGGGATCTGATTTGAGTGTACTGTAAAGTTATTGTACTCAAGTTGAACAGATAGAAATCACTTAAATGGATTCTGTGAAGTACCCTAACATTTTTCAGAGTTTAACTGCAAGTCAATAGAAATGGGTTCATTATCTTTCAGCAAAACTGAATTTTCCTGAAATTCATTAAGACATTGCATTGTATTAACTTTTTTCAGGGTGTTAGCATTTCATGAGGACGGTAAGCATAGTAGACCATGTTGATTTTTGTTAAAATTCTCATAAATAAGATGAATCCTAGATCTAGAAAATTAACAAAAGGGTGGGGAGGGAGAAAAATGTAGGTATCTAACACCTGTTCTGCACATCCAAATATTTCCTTGTTGTTGCCACGAAAAGTAAGTACAAGTATCAATTCAAAACGTTTTATGTCTGTTATTTGGGAAGGATAAAAGGACAGCAACCACAGTGAATATCTACTTTGCACATTGATAATGTATGAACTTTTAAATGCTTGCGATTTTTATCATCACACTTCAGATCTTCTCCTATCCTGTCTGGTAATAGTGTAGTCTGTTGTGATCCCAAAGTTTTTATATCTTGAAACATTCCAGAGGGGATATATTTTAGCATAACTCTACAGTTTGACTTTAAAATATACTTTAAACATGCTCTTTTAATATACTTTTATTGTTTACTTTCCTGTTTATTTTTGTTAAGGCATTGTGTACTGTAGATCACCTAATACAGCTTTTTTTTTTTTTTTTAAAGATAAAAGACTTGGACCTTGCCCAGTTTCCTTCAGTTACTCTACTAAAAGTGTTTTGGCAAAGCACTATAAGCAAAAGAAAAGAGTTAAAGTTGGAAGTATTCTTAGTTATCTTATATCAGATGTGTAGGCTATGAGTATTTCGGTTCTATATGGGGTATTGGCTTCACATGGTGAGCAGTTTTCATGGAACCATAGATATCAGAAGTGAGTATTAAGAGGTAGCATTATCATGGTAGGATATCTAGGTTGGAATCAGATCCAGATTCTAGTTCTAGCTTTGTGAATTTAGACAAGACTCATTTTCCTTATCATGTAATAAATGAAGATATTGAATTAGATTGATTCTAAGCTCCCTTCTAAGCTTTGAGTTTTGTGACTTGTAAATTGATGACATGTTATCACTGGGTGTCAATGATAGGTTATTTGTCTTAAGTGCAGAGAGATTTTTTTCTTCTAAATTTATACACATACATTGACTATGAAGCATAACTGAATCAAAAGTTTAAAAACATTTTATTGACAGTTTTTGCAGTCAAAGTTTTAAAATTTTGGTCTTCATTTCCAGATATCATCTCTTCTTTTGATCACTGCTCCTGATTGTGGCTTTGTCCAAGCATTAAATTGTGTGCCTTTTGTTCCTTGAAGAAAGAGGTATGGTGAAGATTGAAGTACTATAGTACATAGTCTATTAAGTAGTAAGTTAATATGTTTTAATATTGGGCAAAATGGAATAGTTACCTATATATGAATTTCCGTAAGTTATAGTTTTACTTTTGGCCTAAATAAAATACATGTGGGTTTTCATTTTAATGGAAGCAAAAAAAGTAGTTTTTTGTTTCATAGTTTATGTTTCAACATTGCATTAGAAATCTAAAGATGATTTTAACTGTATCATGCTTCTAAGTATAAAGATGACATTAAGGGCTCCTAGGTAATGGATGATGGAGATAAATACGGTAGGAAGATGTTTTGAAGCTGTATAAATGGCCAGAAGAGTGTTTCTGTTTTGCTCTAGTAAGTGCAAAGTAATGCACCTAAATAAAAATTATCTAATGTATATTTGTATTGTGATTAATGATATCTGCATTGTGAGACAGAAAAGGAACTTAGGAATCACTATAGAAGTTATGACTGGTTTCCTGGAAACAGTCGTCTGAATATCCTGGTTTGGACAAAAAGAAGGAAAAATGCCTGCCAACAAATCCATGGTGTTATAATAAGGAAGGCTTTGCACTCAGTGGAAAATACTTTACCCTTGTACGAAAACGTGGCATATTTATTCTTGAAACACAAGTGCCTCTTGCTGTTTGTGTTGGATAGATTTGGGGATATCACAGTATCATATAATTCCCCTCACCAAATGTATACCCATAAGTAGAACCCTAAGTTAGGAATAAGATTGTGTATGTAACTACGAAAATAATTTAAGTAGACTATACCAACTTAAATTATTACTTTAGTAATTGTAACCATGTTCTGTGAACTTTACTAGCAGATGGATTTTTTTTTTCAGGCCATTTTTCACAAAGGTACAAATTATTTTATTAAAAGTTAAGGTAATATAACAACTACAGTAAGAGAGCAACAAAGCTAAGTTGAGATACCAGGTTATCATTTATGTTCATTTACATGTGTCATTTCTTCGTATATAACATTTGTTTGATCTCTTACCGTGAGATTCACATGGGTACTGTGTTGCTCCTTAACAGAGAAAGTAAATGCTGAGTGCTAAGAGTTTTCTTTACTAAGTTTGAGCCAAACTACTCAAAAAAAGTAACATGGTGAACAATGAAAGCTTCACGTGTAACGAAGTAAATAAGAGACTGCTGTATGGTAACAGATCAAAATGATTTGGATTATCTGAGCTTAAAAATTATAATCAAAATCTGACTAAAATTTTAAAATCATGATTGGTGTGACTGCATGAAACCAGTGTCAGAATATTGGAATGCAGGTGCATGACTTGAAGCTTAGGAAAATTAAGTGGGTTTCATGTGGGTCTCATTTCAAAAAGTGGTAATAGCTGAAAACAAATATTGGCTTTATAGGAAGTCAAATAATTTCAAAATATGGTAAAGTCATCACCAATTCCTAATTAAAATTGAGTTGTTGGAGGTTGTGGCTGGTAGAAGACGTATATATATGTGTGTACACATATTGTTTTCGTCAACCCAGTATCTCTTCGTTTGGGGAACCATCCTTCCCCTGTTATGAGTGGTTGGTGTCTTGTCTTATGAGTCAGTGTTATAACGCAAGCCCAGTCGTCCCTGTTGCAACAGTGATTGCCCATTACTCAAGCAGAGCCAATCAGAATCCTTTGAAATTGATATATGAATGCTGGGAGAAAGATGCTCCCTTTTCTCTAATGTTGTTAATCTGGGAGGATGCTAGTGACATTCTTTCCTATGTGTATGAGAACCGCATTTGTAGTAGGTGAAAGTGAAGCCATATAGATGGGAGATAGATGGAGGTAGAGTACCACTTTTAGTCCCAGGAGCCATGGTATGAGGTATCTATGGGTTTTTTTTGATTCTGTCTGCTACCCTGGTGTCCTTTCCAGTCCCTTGGCCCAAAATTCTGCATATAAGTTAGTTTGAATTGGATTGTAGCAGAAAACCTCCTGATGAATATATGGCCTTTATGAATTTAAGATCTATAGCTTCAAGTTGATCATTCACGTCCATACATAATTTGCCCTTTCCCTCTGCCTTATAAAAGATACCTTTTATTCATGCATGCATGCATGCATTCATTCATTATACATGTATTTAGTCCTTCATTCAATCTACAAATATTTATCGGATACATAGTAGTATGTACAAGTATGTGCACCTGCCTGGGTAGTCAAGGTTTGTACATACTTGGCTGAGTGGATGGTGGACTTTTTCTAATACAGCACATTTTTATATACTTAGGTTACACAGATCAACAAGCGTGTGTTGAGAATAATCTGTGGTGTACTTAGCTTTTTAGTAATATATAAGAATAAGAGGAGCTCTTTGCTTTCAAAGTGCTTATAGTTTAGTTAAGTAATCCAGATTAATATACATGAAACATAATACAAATGGCTAAAAAGGTTAAATGAACGCACAGTCATATGGGTTGTAAGTCTGAGTTCTGATAGGGAGGAAATTAGTGAGGGCTGGCCCAGTCTAGAAAGGTTTCTTGAAAGGAGATATAACTTCAAATGGATTTTGACTTATGAATTGGGTTTTGATAGGCATAAAGAATAATTGAAGAATGGATGGAGTTGAAAATGATTAAGTGCTCATCCAAGATTGGGAAGAGACTGGTTTGACAATAACAATTTGTATTTTGGGGGAATGAGAGGTAATGGGAAATAAGGTTGGCTGTTTTAGGTAAATCTATGTGTGAGGTATTTGGAAAGCCAGGCAGAAATTTTGCTTCTTTCTAGTAAGGTGGAGCTTTCTTTGAGTAAAATGTTTGTATTTCTTTCAGTGTGATACCATTTTTGTGATGCTAAGATATAAAATAAGTGTATTCAAGTGGTGTATATTTATTTGTCATGGAAAAGATCTTGTTGCTAATAACCATCCACCTTGAAAATTAAAAAAAAAAAAGTAATTAACCTGTGATGCTGTTCTGTGTTTTATATGTAGTTAATTTCTTCTTACCTCCTTCTTTTTGAGAGCTCCCTTAGTACAGTCGCGAAACCATACCTCCTCTGTAGAGATAAAGCCAGTTCAAAACTAATATAGCGATAGTTATAAAAAACATTTGAAAAGAGATAAGGAGTGAAATTAAAGTAATGTTTGATTACTCATAGAATATTTGTTTAGAGCTCCAGGTATTAGGAATGATGTATAGGTTAATGTGTCATTCTCACTAAATGCTGTTGTTTCCTAGGTCTTTGTTTATCTTCTTTCTTCTTTGTTTATCTTCTTCTCTTTTTCTTCTTTCTTCTTTGTTTCTTCTTTTCTATCTGGTCCTCAGCTCAAAGAGTTAACAGAGATTCCAATATACCAGGGTTGGCAAACTTTTGCTATAAATGGCCAGGTAGTATATATTTTAGGCTTTGTGGACATATGGTTTCTATTGTACCTATCAGGTGCTGTGTAACACCAAAGCAGCCATAAACAATATGTAAATGAATGAATGTGGCTGTGTTCCAATGAAACTTAATTTACAAAAATAGGCAGCAGGCCAGAATTGGCTGTTGGCTGTAGTTTGCCAACCCCTGTCGTAGACTTAAATGAGGCATTTCTGTCCACAACCTCTCACAATAACATCTACCCACCTGCTGATGTCCTTTTCTTTCTCTCCAGTAACTACAGGTGAATTATCTTTGTTCTTTTCTAAGTTCAACTCTTCCATTTGTTCACTAGATTGCATCTCTTCTCACTTACTAAAGGACATTGCCTGCATTTCTTTTCTTTCTCTCTTCCGTCACTAATTTTAACATTTTTACTGGATCATTTTTATGAGCATACAATCATACTATAATTTCTTCTACCTTTAAAAAACAAACAAATCAAAAAACTCCAACTCCTCTATTTCTTGGTCCTTTGTAGTAAAATTCCTTGAAACAGTTGTCTGTATTACACCTCTATGTCTCTTCCCATTTTCTCTTAAATTCATGTTTGTGAGCCACTGAAACCATTCTAATCAGTGTCACCAGCACTCTTGACATTAAGTCCAGGGGTCATTTCTCAGTCTTCATCTTATTTGACAGAGTTGATCATTATGATTCTGGAACCACTTTCTTCACTTTGCTTTGACGGTACCACTCTCCTAATTTACCTTCATTCTCACTGCTCATTCCTTTCAGCCACACCAGCTCTTCTCTTCTTTATCCTCTAAATGTTAGGGTATCTTAAGGCTCACGCCTTGGACTTCTCTCTTTTTTTACTTACCCCTTTCATTCAGTTCTATATACAAAAATACATACACATATATATACACAGACTAATAACTCCCCAAATTTTATCTTAACACCTAGACCTCTGTATTTTGTATTCGGTTACACATTCCATGTTTCCATTTGGATGTCAACTGGATATCTCCAATTCTACATGACCAAAACCAAATTCTTGATATCCTTTCCAAACCTACTACTCCCACACTATCTTTTCTTAGTAAAGAGCAACGCATTTCTTCCAGTTGGTGAGGTCAGAACTTTCAGAGTTATCCTTGATGTGTTTCTTTCTCTCATAGACCAAATTTAGTCTGTCAGCAAATCCTATAGGCTCTATCTTTAAAATATATTCAAAGTCTGACCATGCATTATTGTCTCTACCAAGCCACCATCTCTTACCTGGGTAATTGTCGTATAATAGTCTCCAAAGTGGTCTCCTTGCTTCCATTTTTACCTCCCTCTCAAATACTGGGTTCTTAACATAGCAGCCAAAGTGATCTTTTCAAAAAACGATTCAGCTCATGTTATTTCTCTACCCGAAATGCTCCAGCAGCTCTCCTCATTACTTCTTTGATTTCATCTTCTCCGGCTGCTTTCCCTCTGGTGCTTTCTGTTCCCATCATACTGACCAACTTCTTGCTGTTCACCGGACATGTTAGGCACACTCCACACTCAGTGTGTGGAGTAAGTGTGTTGGCGCTTACTCTTTCTTTTCTTTTCTTGGAATGCTGCTTGTCTGCCTCAGCTCCTTAAGATCTTAGCTCAAAACAGACCATTTCAAGTGAGGTCTCCCTGACTTTGTATTTAAAATTAGAACTCTGGTTCTGCCTTTCCTTCTCTACTTTGTTTTTCTCCACAGCATTTGTCACCTTTGACTATATTATATAATTTACTTGTGTTGATATTATCTAAATAACCAGTAGAGTGTTAGCTCCATGAGGGGAGGGATTTTTGTCTGTTTCATTCACTGCTGTATTCCCAAGGTTTAGAACAAAGGCCGGCACATATTTGGTGCTAGCTACAAGGCCAGCACTGTGCCAGATGCTGGTGGTATAGCAAAGAACGTGACAGGTGTGGTCCATGTGTTTATGTGCTTTTATTCTAGTGGTAGAGACAGATAGAAAATAAATTGACAAATAAATAAAATATTGCCAGAGGGGAAAATGTTATAGAAAAAGAAATACAAGGGGCTAAAATAGGGAACAATTTTTTTTGTTTGAGGAGGGAATGGCTTATAGGTTGGGGAAAGCCTCTCTGAGATGGTGACATTTGAGCTGCCTAAAAGATAAGAAGGATCTAACCATTTGAGGAATGGGAGAGAGAATATTTCAAGCAGGGAGTAGCAGGTGCAAAGGCCTGAGATAAGAAAGATAGGAAGGGAGTATCGAGGAACTGAGAGTCTATATATGGTAGCTTACTGGACTATATTTACAGATGGGAAGAGTGGCATGAGATGAAGTTGAAGAGTGAAGTCCAGGACCAGATGTCACTGTTTCTTGCAGGCCTTGGCCAAGAGATTAAATTTTGCTTGCTAAGTGCTTTGGGAAGCCCCTGAGGAGTTCTAAGCAGAGAATACTGTAACCTGTTTTATATTAAGAAGATCACTTTTGCTTCTGTGTGGAGAATGGATTCAGAGAAGGGTTGGTGGGCAGGGGAAAGCATGAATGCCAGTTAGGAAGACTATTATTTTAATCCAAGTTAGAGATGACAGTGGACTAAGATGATGCCAGTGGGGATGGAGAGACGAAAATAAAAGAATAAATGAATTAAGAATTTGTTAGGTCCCTGTGTGCCCAGTCTTCTTGGTTTTTGAGAGGGATAAATGAGAAATACAAAATAGAACTTATTTTTAAGATGCTTATAAGTTATCTTGGGAGGTAAAACTTAAAAATGAAATGATGTATCGATAAAAGTGTAATAAAGTGATGCGCAATGGCTATCCTTGAAATGAATATTCAGAGAAGGGGGGAAATTAGTGTGTATTGCAGAATGTTTCATGTCCCTACAGGAAGTAGAATTAGAAAAGAAGTTTGACCAGAATTGAATTAAGAGAAAGAGGGATGACAAGCCTGGTGAAAGGAAACAGTATGAACAAAGGTAAATATAGGTGTATATATTGGGGAGCAGAAAGCATCTTATGTGTTGGGCTGTGTGTGTGTGTACAGTGAGCAGTTATAGTTTCAGAGAGTAAAAAGAAGATTCATCTGAGTCAGGAGCTGCTTCTGTATTTTAATTTTTATTTTAAACTCCTTCATAATTTATTTTAAACTCCTTCAGTGTCACAAATCTACCTGAATGGTATGTGGCTTACATGTACACTAGCATTTTGAATATTTCTATATCTGTACTTGATCACATTTGCATACTTAACTTTTTATTTCTCTTTTTTGTGGTAAGTTAGGTCATTAGACCACAATGATTTGAAGGGAGCTGACTTTCAATATAAATTTCTACAATATTTATTTTTCACTTGTTTAAAATAAGATAGGTGTCAGCTTCTGGGGTAAACTTTTTAAAAACTTAAAACAGCTACAAAAAGAGTAAGCCCAAAATGTTCCAAGTCATGAAAAGATAATAGTTTATTTTGAGGACATTAAAATAGGTTCTGTTAGTTTCTACTAACACAACATTGTAAAACAACTATACCCCAATTAAAAAATAAAATAAAATAAAATAGGTTCTGCTTTGAAAATAAGAGTTTTAGTATTTTGTGTATTCTAGGTTCCTTTTAGGCAGAACTTTATGTTTTTCAGCAAGCTCTTCCTGCTGCATGCTGCTTTGTTCTGTCTCCAATTGTATGTTTATATGATTGTTTTGCATTCAGTTATCTCTGCAGAGAAAAATTCAATAACTCAAGGAATGCAGTAGTTATAAAAAATAATGACTAATCAGTTTTCTTAACTGTGTATGGACAATTAATGTGACAAGTTAGGTTACAGAGGTACATGCTGAGTCACAAATAGGGCTAAACTAAGAGTTTTTTTAGTTCTTTGTTTAATGTTTGAGCAACTAGAATGTTGTGAGTTAGCACATAGATTCTTTTTATACCTTTTCACTAAAGCTGAACACTGTAGAATGTTTTTGCTTTTTAAAGCAAAACAAAACTCTGTTGTAGAAAGCAAAAAAAACTCTCCAGGAATGGCACTTTTTGATTCACTCTAAGTCTCTATCCTTGGCATTTTATTCTGGGAATCATCTTTTAAAAACTTTCTCTGTACCTACTGTGTGATTCCTAACATATGCTAACACTGCCAGTTCTCTGGTTCCTCACTTTTTTGTTTGGATTGTCACTTAGTCCTCTTAGTTTTCTCACTTCTATTTTTACTCTCTTTCTCCAATATATCTTGCTGTCTAGTAGCATTCTAATACTATTTCTAAAGTACTGCTTTCATAACTCTCTGCTCATAAAGTAATATGGATGGCTCCTTGTTACCTTTCATTTCAAGTTCAAATTTGTCCTTTGTAGTCTTTTTTTTTTTTTTTTGCGGTACGCGGGCCTCCCACTGTTGTGGCCTCTCCCGTTGCAGAGCACAGGCTCCGGATGCGCAGGCTCAGCGGCCATGGCTCACGGGCCGAGCCGCTCCGCGGCATGTGGGATCTTCCCGGACCGGGGCACGAAGCCGCGTCCCCTGCATCGGCAGGCGGACTCTCAACCACTGCGCCACTAGGGAAGCCCGCCTCTGTAGTCTTCTTACTTAACCTTGCCATTCTGTCTGTGATCTAGATCCTGCAGTTCTTCTAATATTTCTTTTTTTCTAGTCTAGGTAACCTTTCCTCATTTCTTACATGTTTAAGTCGTTTAACTCTTTAAAGGATCATCACAAAACCTTCCTTTCTGTGAAATAAACACAGTCAACATTGATCTATTAACTTAATGTCAGCGATGCAGACGTAGAGAACAGACGTGTGGACACAGGGAGGGAAGGGAAGGGTGGGATGAATTGGGAGATTAGATTTGACATAAATACACTACCATGTGTAAAATAGATAGCTAGTGGGAACCTGTGGTATAGCACAGGCAGCTCAGCTGGGTGCTCTGTGATGACCTAGCTGGGTGGGATGGGGAATGGGAGGGAGGTCCAAGAGCGAGGGGATATATGTATACATATAGCTGATTCACTTCCTTGTACAGCAGAAATTAACAAAACATTGTAAAGCAATTATACTCCAATTAAAAGAAAACAAAAAGAAAGAAACTTTGGTTACAAGTAATAAAACTAGCTTAAGCTAGTTTAAGCTAATGTTAGCTGAAAAGGGGGAATTATGTTAAGGATACAGAATTTCCTAGAATTCAAGGGCAGGAATATACAGGCAGGCCTCAGTAAAGACTTGTGGTAGTGACATTGCCTTCTTGGTTTCAGTCAAGGTTCTTATGAGATCTGATGATTCTTTCCCTGTTGTTTTGGTTTGTTTGTTTTTGTTTTATTTTATTTTGTTTTTGCTGTGCCATGCTGTCATTCCTTTAAAATAAATTAACCTGTTATCAGTAGTTTGAAGGATATCTATAAATTTGTCTATGTACAAACATGTACTCATAGGATCTTTGCTTCTGACATAAAAACAAGGCTCTTTCCTGCTAATTTAAAAATATATTACATGCCTTAGTCTGCAACTTCCTTTTTTGAAAACTAAAAAAATTTCACAATAAATATCTTTCCAAGGCAATTCAATACATATACCTCTTTCTTTATATTGTTTTCATGTGGCTATTCCATAATTTACTTAATCATTTTCCTATTCGTGGACATTTAAGTGCTACTGATACATATCTCTATGTTGTGCTTTTATTTCTGTAGGATAGATTGTTAAAAGTAAGGTTTATGGAGGTATACTTAGAAAATGTGAAGGAAATTGCTTTTTTTTTTTCAAGGAAAACATAAATTGCCAAAAGTGATTTAAGCAGTAGAAAACCCAAAGATCCCAGAAACCGTAGAAGAACTTACAAAGATTGTAAGTCTAAAATTTAAAGAGGTACCAGACCCATATGGTGTGTTGGTGCAGTCTGTGTAATTTTAAAGAGCAGGCAAGTCTCATGTTCAGTGAACTGTTCAAGAGCAGATTAAATGATGGAAGGTACCCCAGTTCATTTTACAAATTCTTCATAATACCAATACCAAAACTTAATGAGAACACTAGAAAAGAAAATAAGAATAAATACAATTTTGTCAGATCAAAGCCAGTACTTTATTAAAGAATTATATGCTTAACTACTGCAAAAACAGTTCAACATTATACTTGCTATTTATTTCTTTATATAGTGTATAGAAAAAAAAGTCAAATTTAGATTGATGTTACAATTTTTATTCTTTCTTTTAACAATGTACCAAGATCAGGAATCGTATTATTAGTTGAATACTATTTGTTTTCTGTATAAAATACATACAACTTTTTATTTGTTTAACAGCAGTGCATACATAACTGCTATTCTGGTGGTGCCAACTCTCTTTTTACTTATTTTTTAAATAACCTCATGGCTTTCAAATTAATTGTTAAATTAAAAAATTTCTCTTCATAGCATGAATTTATGAGGTATAGTGACATCTAATAGCATAGTTCTTCATTCTCTGAGTATTATGTTTGCCATTAGCTTTGTAGCTGTTACAGTGTAATTGGGTACCTGTGTGTTGATAAAGGGAGGACAGCGTTGAATAATACCTATTTTGTTTTAATTTCTTGTCCACCTTTAGTGTCAACATTCTTCAATTTTGTACTGGTGTCAAGTTTACTATTTTGAGTTTGTTCAGGAAAAGCTTAGTTGGTTTACCACAAAGTCAGTTGCTTTGTTTGAGAATTACAAAAGTTTCATGGATTCATGCCACTTTTTTTGATAAAGCTTCATAATAGTGTGGTCTAGGGACAAAGAGATTGTCATTCTTGTTACATCCAAATGTAAGCTATTTGCTTGTGCTATGATAAGGAAGTATGCCAGTGTGGAGGTCATAGTAATCCAAGGATAACATTTTAAGAAACACTGACCTAAGGATAACCAGTAATCACTATAAACATTTTTTGTGTGTATGTTCTTGACTTCTTACTGAGAGTTTGTAGGGGACCATGTGTCTGTTTATCCATCTATTTTCTACCCATCTAATAGTTGAACAAATTAAATCCTAACATGTCTACTGTTTGAGTTCTGTTTTTTTCACTTAATGTGTCTTGGATCTCTTCCTGTTAATAAATGTGGGTTTACAATGTTGCTTTTAAAATTGAAGAATATTCCATTGAATAGAAATACCGTATTTATTGCTGGGCTTTTAGTTATTTTTAATTTTGTGATTTTGTAAACAGTGCTTCTGTGAACATCTGATTATTACCTTTAGGATAGATTTCTAGGAGTGAATTGGAAGTTAATGTACTTTCTCCCCCAGCATATATGTAGATGTAGATATGTTTATATTTATATTATTTTATAAAAATTATTATAATATTTATAATAAATACATATATTTTACAAACTGTTTTTTATGAAAGTTCTGTCAGCTTACATTCCCATCAGTATGTTGTAGTGCCTTTATTTCTAGAAAATGAAATTTTATAGGAAATCCATGCACAATGTTTATCGAACGAAAAATAAAATGATTTTTAGCATGGTAAAAAACAAAAAAGAAAATGAAATTTTAAAAAGAAAGCATGCAAAACAAGCCCAAATTTTTATTGTTGGATTCAACAGACATAAACTTAACACTGTGAAAGTGCTGTTACAGTTTCTAAATGCTTACTCAGTTTCTGTACAAATCTTGTCATGGACTGGTGACAAATGGTTCATGGATCATCAGCAAACCACATTTTTAGTAGCCCTGTTTTAGCCTAGGAGCCAACTGGGGCATGGCATGGGGTTTGTGTCTCATATGTATATGGTCATTTAATCCTCTTCTTTTTGGTGTGGTACCCACTTTCTCAGCTGTGTCTGGTATCCTGTATTTCAAAGATTCTGTTTTACTTTCTGCAGAGAATAACCTCCAGACTTCTGCTGTGGTTGGGGAACAGCAGTAACCTAGCTTGATGGAGTGGGGAAGAGAATCTTAGCATCTAACCAAAACTCAAGCAGCTTTCTCCAAAATTCTCTTTATTTTATCTTCCTCCTCCTTTCTTCTTCCCATTTCAGAGTGACTTGGTGCTGCCAGTTCCTAAGTCTTTTGAAGATTCAGAGTATAAAATGGGTTAGTTCTTAGTTTGCACTGTCTGCCTGGGATTGTTTTCTTGAGTCTGCAAGGTCATTTACTACTTATCTCCTTTCCAGTATCTAGAATTTTGTTGCTATTGTCACCTCTTCTGTTTCCCATCGTTAATTTTTCTGTAAGGGCTTCTTATATATTTGTCATTTTGCAGATGTTCCTATTCTCCAGTCTTTTCTGCTTTCTTAACTGTGTTTACAAAATATTTACATTTATTTCTCTTTTGTAGATGTTATTATTGACAGATATTTCTTTTATATCACATTATTTTTTTTAGTTCTTTTTTTTTCTGACTGAAATTTGGTTTTTGCTGAAGTATTAAAAATTTTCCTAGAAACAGTGCATATGTAGTATATTCTCTGAATCTTTGCATATCTAAAATTGTGTTTTTCCCTCCCATATGAGAGTTTTCCTGGGTATAGAATTAATTCTTGGGTTAATTATTTTCCCTCAGAACTCTATAAATGTTATTTCATTGTCTTCTAGTGTTTCGAATTGTGAGTAAAATGTCTGATTAATATTGATGTCTGATTAAAGTTGGTACTGTGAATATCTTTTTAGGTAATTCCCATTCCATTCTTTTTTGGTAAAATTTCATTTTTATTTTTTAATTCAAACATTTTACTAGGATAAGTTTAGATACTGAGTTTTATATTTTCCCACTAATAATCTTGCCTGGCATTTTGGGGAGCCTTTGATTTTGAAAATTCAAGGCTTTAAAACAAAAAAAGCAACAACTCCATGTAATTTTTTTCTCCTGTTTTCAAAACCATTATTTCTCCCCCATCTACTTTGTTCTCCCTTTCATGGCAGTATGTTTTTTTTTGTTTTTTTGTTTTTTTTTGCTGTGTGGGGACCTCTCACTGTTGTGGCCTAGCCCGTTGCGGAGCACAGGCTCCGGACGCTCAGGCTCAGTGGCCATGGCTCACAAGCCCAGCCGCTCCGCGGCACGTGGGATCTTCCCGGATCGGGGCACGAACCCGTGTCCCCTGCATCGGCAGGCGGACTCTCAACCACTGCGCCACCAGGGAAGCCCGGCAGTATGTTTTATTTTTGTTTTTTGTTTTTCTCAGTATACTAGCTCAGGTCTTAGTGACATTGCCAATCACTACTTGATTTTTTTTTTTTTAAGCTTTCTCCGTTTTCCTCCAGTAACTTTCATTGTAGTTATTCGTTTTCACTGCTGGTTGAGAGAATGGGTGAGAGGTTTCTCTGAGTGTTCAGATTATTTTCCCTTTTTTGAGCTGCTGCATCCAGTGATGTTTCTGCCTGCTTATCTTTTTTGATGGCATTGGGAGTTGAGATGTATTGTTGGAGAATAAACCAAGATTTTCGTAGTTGGTTAGATGAAGTGGAGAAAGTTAATGTAATTTTCTTCTGACAGCTTAGAGTTAGTAATTTACTTACATTGAGAAAAGGCAGCACTCTTAAACAGAACAAGATGGCCATGGATTTAGGAAGATGTATCTTTGTTCAGAAATGATGTCTTCTTTACATCTCTCCTGACAGCTGGTGCTAGCAACCCCCAACTGTGTCTGGTCTCTGGACCCAGCTCAAAGCCCTGGATTCATTCTCTTCCCATACCTCAGCCTGAGCCTTCTGTCACCCCAAAGGGCTTCACACAAGCTTCCTCTCAAGCCCTCACTTCTCTCACAAGGTATGTTTAGGAGAGGGAGTGGGTGGACTTGTTACTTTTTTACTTAGGGCATAATAGATAGATACTCATTGAATATTGGTTGAATGAATGTCTCCTAGTGTGCTTCCTCTTTAAAAGTGGTGCTTTAAAAGTGCTGCTTGATCAGCATTTGTTTTCACTCTTCTCTCTCTGGACCTTTTCTTTCCAAACACCTTGTGGCATAGCTGTGGAATGTGTTTTAGTTTCTTGCCATTTTGTAGGATTTGTTTTAATTATATTTTTTGGTTTGTGTTTCAGTTGGGAGAGGGAGAAAATCAAATGGCTTGAGTTGCTATCTTGATGCAGCAAACTCTGGGTTACTTTAAAGGGCCAGTCATACTTTAAACAAATAGTATTATTTTAAGGCTTGATGAGATGTTTTTCAAGTCTTATGAGATAATAATACATACATGTAAGGCAGTAATTTAAGTAGGAGATTTAAAATCAGTAATCCTTGTTGGTGGGGTGTAGAGATTGGTCTGTAGTGAAAATAGCATTAGCTAATAGGTTGGAAGATTAAAATTATAATAAAATTTCTTTCCTTTTTTTTTTTTTAATGGAACACATTTTTCCCCCCCATAGATGGCAACCGTAGTATAATTTGCTACCAGGTGTCATCTTTGATTGCTTCCACATAAAACAGGTTGAAAAAAATAAAACACATTCTCCAAACTTAAAATTTGAGGGCAAATAAACCCCAAAATACCTAAAATGCACAAACTCTCTTAAAGCTTCATTATATATGCCATACATTAAATATAAAAAATAATGACATTCAACATCAGTTAATTAGCAGTTATCAGACTTAAGTAAAAGCTAAGTGGATTTCTTAATGAGGTGGTCCCTTTTTTCAGCATTGTTGTTTTTTTTTGCGGTACACGGGCCTCTCAGTGTTGTGGCCTCTCCCGTTGTGGAGCACAGGCTCCGGACGTGCAGGCTCAGCGGCCATGGCTCACGGGCCCTGCCGCTTTGCGGCATGTGCGATCTTCCAGGACCGGGGCACGAACCCGTGTCCCCTGCATCGGCAGGCGGACTCTCAACCACTGCGCCACCAGGGAAGCCCTTCAACATGTTTTGTATGTGAGGAAGGGGCATGTACACTAATGGGTGAACTCTGTGGCGTCTGTTTTGGCTGCCATGCATCCTACTTAATTATTTTCTATTTTTTTGTATTAGAAGCTTAAGGTTGCTGGATGATCAACTCTGAATAAGCAGTATATTAACTTATTTGTCCTGCCTCTTCCTTTAGATTGCGAGCTGCAGTTAAGGGTAGGGACCATGTTTTTGCATCTCTCCATAGCACTCATCAAAATGCAACACATTTATAGTAGGTATTTTTTTAGTAAGTATTAGTTGATGAAGTTATTTAAATCACACTGGTTGTCAAACTTCGGGATATGTGTTTTCTTCTAAGAAAAATTTTAAATTATGTAGGTATTTTGAAATGAAGTTGATGATATTTAGAAATATTATCAAAATATGTAATTTTTTAGCATTATACATTTTTGGAAACATATTACTATAAGAAGCAATTTGCCTTTTGTAATGAAACCTATGATACAGACTTCTCTTGATTATATATAGAAATACAAAAGCTTGGGTATGGATAGTCTGGAGTGACCACAATATGGTATCCAAATGTGGAAGAATCATTACTTAATGTGCTTTAAAAGTTTCACATATTTGAGCCCCACCCTCAGATTCTGGTATGGTGTAAACTCCATAGATGACCATGATGCTTGTCACTCACTGTTGAGAATGTGATACTCTGTAGAGAATCTTCTCAGTTGGTGTGAAGTATCCACCAGGTATCATTGAACTTTTTTCCAGCCATTTATTATTATTCTTACTTTTGAAGAAAAAGTCTTTACATTTAGCTTTAAATAATATAGTAAAAAATTTAATATTTTTTTTACTGTATTAGGCATGGTATGTAAAAAAATTTTTTGTCAGTAAACTCATACCCTTCTAATGAATTTATTTTCAAGTCAGCATATATATATTTGAAAAATATTGAAGGTGTTTTTTAGACCCAACCAAAAGTTTTAAGTTTGAGAAATATTCAAAGGGCCTCTTAGTAGTAATGTAAAGTAATTTAACTTTTAATTTTATTCTCTCAGAAGGGATTTTTAAAACAGTGAAGTTCCTAGTTACTTAGATTAATTGAAGTTTAGACGTGAGACCTTTGGATAGACATGGATGAAGCTTAATGTGATTTATACTTTAGTTTTTTAGCTTACCTAATTATATCTATTACTCATATACATATTTAAGACCATGAAAGTAAGAAAATGTAGTACTGCTTGATATATTTACTACTGAACCTTCAGTAGTCAGATTCCATTCTCAGCAATATATTGTCACATCCTTTTTTTTTTTTTTTTTGGCCCTGCTGTGTGGCATGTAGGATCCTAGTTCCCCAACTAGGGATCAGACCCGCACCCCCTGCAGTGGAAGCATGGAGTCTTAACCACTGGACAGCCAGGGAAGTCCCTGTCACATCTTTTTAACTCTACTGTTTTCTGTTCCTCTGCACCTTGAATCATAATGTCTCATACATGGTGATCACATACAGTAATGGTGGTAGCTACAGTTTATATAGTACTTTACAGAATTCTGTTACTTATGTGTCCTCATTTAATCTTTACAACAACCCTGTGAAAGGGGTAGGGGAAATACTAATTTTTTTTTTTTCATTTTATAGATGAAGAAACTAAAACACAGAGATTGAGACTTGTCTAGAGTAACACAAACCAGTAAGTGTTTGAATTAATGGAGGCAGCTAGCAATGGGTACATTCTAATCTGCCAAGGGCTTGCCTTGCTGCCACCTGACTTAGTTCTAGGGACAAAAAAAGCCAAAATGGTAGGGAATCAGAAGTAGTAGCTAGACTTAGGAGTACCCCAGGGAAATGTGTTACTCCTTTTAATTTCTTCTTTTTTTACCAGTTATTAATGCTAACTTGAGACAGCAGGCAATGTCTTTTTGTTATTGTTGTTTAGGTGAATGAAACTTTTATTTTAAACGTAAATTATCCCTGAGGCACTAGGGAAGTAGAAAATCTGCAGAGAAGTCTGTTGAAATTCTCACAAGGTAATAGCTATAGGGTCAACTAAGTAATTGAGAAAGTTAATGGTATATATGTACAATTGGAACCATGTGTGTCAGTGGAACTTAAGTTTATAGGGCTCTCTTGTTGAGATTTTTAAAATCCTGTTTAAAAACTGTAGTATCAACTTTATATAAAATCTTAGAGCTTAAAGGTGCATATCCAATTGTGGTTTTCTTTAGATGAGGAAACTGAGGTGCAGAGAAGTCAAACCTTACCCAGTGTTACAGAGCAGAGCTGGAAGTAAAGCTTGTATTTCCTGAGATCCAGATTAGTGTCATTTCTACTTCAGACTATTACTTCTTGGTAAGCTGTTCTTAAAATACTAAATAGGTCTTTTCTGTCTTTTGTTTGATCAACATTCTTGCTTTGTGCCAAAATAAACTTAAAATATGAATTTTACTGATACTTCTGTGATGAAAATTTCAGTTCTTTGTTTGATTTTAGGTGAGTTAATGTGGGAAAAGTCCTGGTATTTTGAAGATGTCTCGGCACAGTATTGTTTCCTGTTCAAATTACAAGTAACTTCAAGAGTTTGCAGGAAAAAAAGAAATTGGGATATTTTTGGTTAAATCATGCCATCTGAACAGAAACATTTATTTTTTGATGAAAAACAGAATACTTTAAAAAGAGATTATGATGTGAAAAATGAGAGAGTTGATACTATCAGATCAGTACTTAAACCAAAAATTTCAGAAAGTAGTTTTCATTATGAACTAAAAAATGTGAAAATTGTTTTGCCGAAGATAAATATTCCAAATGAGGTCCTATTGAAACATGAAGTTGACAAATACAGAAAATTATTTCAGCATAAACCACAGACTGCAAGAAAATCTATCGGTATAAAGACTGTAAGCTGTGTAGAGGAGTGTATGTTACTCCATAAGTCTGAGAGAGTTGAAGAAGAAGGTATAAAAATGTCTGCAAAAATACTCAACTTCAACTGTTTGAAGTGCCGAGATAGTACTCGGTATAGCCCAAATGATTTGCAGAAACACTTCCAAATGTGGCACCGTGGTGAATTACCTTCATATCCTTGTGAAATGTGCAGTTTTTCAGCAAACGACTTCCAGGTATTCAAACAACATAGACGAACCCATAGAATTACTTTAGTAAAATGTGACATTTGTAACAATGAGAATTTATATACTTTATTAGACTTGACAAAGCATTTTTCATCCACACATTGTGTAAATGGTAATTTTCAATGTGAAAAGTGTGAATTCTCCACCCAGGATGTTGGCACATTTGTTCAGCACATACATAGACATAACGAAATCCTTTATAGATGTGGTAAATGCCATTATATATGTTTAACCAAAGGAGAGCTTCAGAAGCACCTTCATATTCATTCTGGTACGTTTCCCTTCACTTGTCAATATTGTAGCTATGGTGCTACCAGGAGAGAGCACCTTGTAAGACATGTTATAACTTTGCACAAAGAACATTTATATGCGAAAGAAAAACTGGAAAAAGACAAATATGAAAAAAGGATGGCAAAGACTTCAGCAGGACTTAAACTAATATTGAAAAGATATAAAATAGGTGCATCAAGGAAGACATTCTGGAAACGTAAGAAAATCAACAATGGAAGTGACAGAAGTATAGAAAGAAACACTCAAGTGCTTAAAAAAGTGAACAAAACACAGGCTAAATCTGAAGACCAGAGCCATCTTGTTCAGGAACATATAAATGAAGAAAAGGATGAAAGACTATACTGTGAGAATAATGATAAACCTGCTGAGTCAGAGTCAGAAAAGCCAACTCTTCTGTCCACTGGGCAATGTAACGGAGCTGAAGAGGGATCAAATTCTACTTCAGGTTTCTTGAAGACTGCTGTACAAGGACCTACAGTGTTAATGGTAAAAAATAATAGAATAACAATTCCTGCTAACTACAGTGCTAAGTTTATGGGCTTTAAGATGGTGGATGGAAAACAACATATTGTAATAAAACTGTTGCCTACCAATAAACAGAATTTATATTCACCAGGCTCACAGTCAGGTGCTGTAAGGGACAATACTGCAATTTTGCAACCCCAGACTTTGGACACTACTGCATTTTTAACAGGAGTAACAACTGAGTTAAATGACACAGTTTACATGAAAGCAGCTACTCCATTTTCATCTTCATCTCCTATACTTTCAGGGAAGGTAACTTCAGAAAAAGAAATGGCTTTGCTATCTCAAACAAGTAATATGCTTCCAGCAATGGATGATGGAAAAAGTGTTTCTCCTTTGCCAGTAACATCAGAATTGAGCACAGCATCGGTGAATTTGACCACAAAAGTAGAAACGAGAGAGAATGTTGACTTATGGGGAAGTCATATTACTCAGTGTCACCCTGAGGTATCAGGTAGTGCCATTAAAAGTCAAGATAAAGTCACCTGTACTACCAAACCAAACTCATACAACAGTGGAGATATGCATAACTATTGCATTAATTATGTCAACTCTGAGTTACCTGTTGAATCTTCCAACCAAGGATCATTACCTTTTCATAATTACTCAAAAGTGAATAATTCTAATAAACGTCATAGGTTTTCAGGGACAGCAGTGTGTGAAAACCCTCAAAGAGAATCTTCATCAAGCAAGACAGCAGTTCAACAGCCAATAAGTGAGTCAGTTTTATCACTAGTGAGGAAGGAGAGCTCAAACCCAGATAGCCTGTTAGCATCTATTAGTCGTTTAAATACTAAAGATGGAACTTTAAAAGCACAAGCTGAAATTGAAGAACAGTGTGTTTTAGAAAAAGGACAAAACATTGATGGGCAGAACCTATACACTAATGAAAATCAGAATGTAGAGAGCATGATTGAAAAGCCTAAATGGGATGACGTTTCTAGTGTTGAATCACCTATGATGCCTAGAATTACATCTGTTTTCTCTCTCCAGAGCCAACAGGCGTCAGAACTTTTGCCACCTGAAATAAACCAGTTACTTCAAGATGTATTAAAAGCAAAACCTGATGTAAAACAAGACTCTAGTAACACTCCAGATAAAGACCTGCCGCTTCATTGTGACCAGTCATTTCAGAAACATGAGGGAGAAGACAAAATAGTTGAATCTTCAAAAGACTTGAAAGTACAAGGCTTCTTTCCAATTCCATCTGGTAATATGGGGATTAATGTGGCTACAAATTATCTGAATTTAAAATTTAGTGGAAAAGAAAAACAAATGTTGTCAATGTCACAAGATGTGAGAGATTCAGAGAAGACTCCTAGAATTTCTGGTTTTGGCACATTACTTAAGACTCAGTCAGATGCAATAATTACACAGCAGCTTGTAAAAGACAAACTACGAGCCACTACGCAAAATGTAGGTTCTTTGTATGTGCAGAGTCCACTTGTAAATTCAGAACCAAAAAAGGCTATCTTTGTTCAGACTCCAAAAGGCTTTTTTGTACCATTGCACGTTGCTAACAAGCCTACATTACATGTTTCAGGAAGACCACTTCCATTGGTTAATACACAAGGTGTCCCTGCCTCTCTCCTTTTAAACAAGAAACCTGGGATGATTTTAACATTTAATAATGGGAAACTTGAAGGTGTTTCTGCTGTCAAAACTGAGAATGCTCAAGCTTGTGGAACTACAAGTAAGGAGCCTTGCAGAACACCTTTTTTAAAAGTAGAACCAAACAGTAATTGTCTAACCCCTGCACTTTGTTCCAGCATTGGCAGCTGTTTGAGCATGAAAAGTAGCTCAGAAAATACTTTGTCATTAAAAGGCCCTTACATTATTAAAACGCCAGCAAGTTCTTCAGTGAAAGGTGTTCCTGCTCCTAATACAGTATCTGAGCATCAGGGCACTAAGTTGAATATCTCAGATTCAGTAAAACAGCAGAACAAGATTTTTCCAAAACCACCTCTTTACACTCTTTTGCCTGATGGCAAACAAGCTGTTTTTTTAAAGTGTGTGATGCCAAATAAGACTGAGCTGCTTAAGTCTAAATTAGTCCAGAATAGTACTTATTATAAAAATATACAGCCAAAGAAACCTGAAGGAACACCACAAAAAATATTGCTGAAAATTTTTAACCCTGTTTTAAATGTGACTGCTGCTAATAATCTGTCAGTAAGCAACTCTGCGTCCTCATTGCAGAAAGACAATGTACCATCCAATCAGACTATAGGAGGAGAGCAGAAAGAGCCAGAATCTTCTAGAGATGCCTTACCCTTATTACTAGATGATATGATGCCAGCAAATGAAATTGTGATAACTTCTACTGCAACATGCCCAGAATCTTCTGAGGAACCAATAGGTATCACTGACCATTCAGAGGCCAGAGTATTACGGTGTAAAACAAATTGTAGAATTGAGAGAAACTTCAGTAAGAAAAAGACTTCGAAAAAGAAATGTTCAAGAATAAAAACTCATGAAAGAAGTAAAGATTCTGAAACTTCCTTTGTATCTAGAAACAGAAACTGTAAACGCAAGTGTAGGGATAGTTACCAAGAACCTCCAAGAAAAAAAGCATTACACAGAAAGTGTAAAGAAAAAGCAAAGCCTGAAGATGTCCATGAATCATTCGGATTCAGCAGACCTAGGCTTTCAAAAGATTCAGTCAGAACTTTGCGGCTTTTCCCCTTCAGTTCCAAACAGCTTGTGAAATGTCCTAGGAGAAACCAACCAGTTGTAGTTTTGAATCATCCTGATGCAGATGCCCCAGAAGTAGCAAATGTAATGAAAACTATTGCTAAATTTAATGGACGTGTACTTAAGGTTTCATTGTCAAAAAGAACTATCAGTGCGTTACTGAAACCAGTTTGTTATAACCCTTCTAAAACAACTTACGATGATTTTCCCAAGAGGCACAAAACATTTAAACCTGTTAGTTCTGTGAAAGAAAGATTTGTGCTAAAATTAACTCTCAAAAAGACAAGCAAAAACAATTACCAGATTGTGAAAACTACCTCTGAAAATGTTCTGAAGGCTAAATTTAACTGTTGGTTTTGTGGTAGAGTATTTGACAATCAGGATGCTTGGGCTGGTCATGGTCAGAGACATTTAATGGAAGCTACTCGTGATTGGAACATGTTAGAATAATTTACTGTAATTACCAAGGAAAAGAAAAGTAAAAGTACCTTAGAAGAAAATAGTGGGTTGAATTACTAATGCAGACATTTTTTACTTCAATATAGTACCTGAAGTTAAACATTTAAAAGTTGACTATATTTCCATGGAAGAGCAAAAGTTTTAGTGTGATATTTGAAAATGCTGTCAGTGCACATGTAAGTTTTGAAAGAAACTAATCAGCACAGATATACCTTGATTTAATTTTTTAAAATGTGTTCTCGGGAAGTTAGGGCTAAAAATTTTGATAAAACAGTTTTCCGAGTTTAGTGACTCTTAGTAGAGAGTAACAGGTGACAGCCCCATTCCCTCTCTTCTTCCACCAGCCTTATGATTCTGATAACTGTAGCTCCCCTGAAGAGGTTGAGAGCTCTTTCATTATGGAACTGAAGGAGTTTCTCATCATTTGTGAAGATACTCTAAGAGAACTTGGGTAAAGAACTTACTCTACATCTGCAAAATGTAGTTCTTTTGAAGGTAGTTAAGCTCCTTTGAGGGTACATTTAACTCACTACAGTTACACCTCATATGATGGTTGATAAGAGTTTTTGACAAGCAGATCTTTCTTCCTTGTAAGCTGTGTTACATGTCATTGATTGGAACACCCTTCCAAGGTGATTTTCTTTTTCTAAATGGCTCTCAAGCGTTGCAGTAGATGGGCAATCTCGAGAGAAGAATTAAACTCTTTGTCTAGTTTGAAGTTCATTTAAAGAACTTGAACATTTTTTTGAATTTGGTTATATTCCCCAGTGATTCCCTTCCACAGAACTATGTTTATTTGATTTAAATTGTTTGTCCCCTCATAAACCAAGTGGCCAATTTTTTTCTTGGTTGCCATCCCTTTAAAAAGAGTGAAACATAGAAGCACTTCCAAGGGAATGGCTTTTCTTGAAAATTAAAAATTATTCCTCAGAAACAATATTTTGAAGTAAGATTAGCAAAGCAAATCATACTTTTGTGTTTATTATTAGTGTCTGAACATGTCCACATTGGGACAAACCATTTTTGTTAGCAACTTCTCAGTATGACTGACAACCCAAAGCAGATTACTGATTGTTTGCAGTTGGAAATTGAAGAAGCATTAATAGTGGACTCAGTGACAGTGCATAACACTTCAGGACAGATTCCGAAGGGATATGCCCAACAGGTAGAGTTTTAAAATGAATATTTTCGTGACAACAGAATCATCAATTTAAACTTCCCACTTTGTAAGTTTGAATCAAATTTTGTTGGACCATTGGACAATGGAGTTCTTGTATTAAAAAATTACATACTATATAATTTTTGTTACATTGTTACTACTAGTGTTATGACATTTTCATTGATTGAAAACTTCAGGGCTCCTTTTCTGTATATAACAAAGAATTTAAAACCTGTACATATTTTTGTACCTTTCAGTTATGTAAATTTTGCACAGAAAGTTTTTGACATAAAAAGTTTATTTTCTTTCAATTTAGTTCTGTGCATGCACTAATAAAACTTGTCGTTTAATTTAAAAGGAATATGTAAGACTTTACCCATGTTATTTTTTTGGTTTTCATTTCAGATGTACAATTTCTTTTTTTTGATAAATTCAGTTTTCAGGGATTGAACACTATTGTTAGCAAGTGCCTAAAAGATGTGAAACAGTTTACATACGTCAACTGTAACATTAGGTCCCAAATGGGCCCACTCCCCCAATAATTTTATTTTAAAGAAAGCCATACATAGATGCTTCAAGCTATCTTGCTATGCACATTATACATGTACTGTTTTTGTGCAGTTTGTCTACTTTCTTAGAAGTGAAGTATTTTTTGTATAAAACCTGTTACAATTGTGTTTCTTAAATTGAGCCTAAGAACGGAATTGATTGGAAATATACGGTATATATTAATAATGTATATGGTGTTTAAAGAATGGTAAGCATTGTTAAAATCTGTAACGAATGTCTTCTTCAATTAAATTTATCTTAAGTTTGTGTTTACATAATTTTTTTTACTGTGATGAAGTCAAATGGGAATTTTATTCTAGTGGGAAATACTTAGTTTTCAAAGCTTTTTTTTTTTTTTTTTTAATGCTAGTGAATGCAAAATGAAGTTTGGGATTTTATTCCCCAGAAATTATAGGTGAAATTTTGAGATTTTGTTTGAGAAGGGTAACATATATTATAATTTAACTATGCTGGTAAGAAAAGCCACAGAGAGGCTTATGTTCTTCAGTACCCTAATGGCAGTAAAACTGAAATGTTGCTCTGTTATGGTTAGATCTATTATGATGCATCACCTTCTGTGAATAGAGGAGAGAGAAGGAACTGTCTTGCCAATGTTTGCAGCACTATAAAAATACATTTCAGAATAGCCATACCAGTAAAAAAAAAAAAAATCTAATGTCAAGATACATACTTTTTGCCTTAAGGTTTTAAAAGCTATTTTAAAAAGCTTCATGCCCCAGATACTCTAGTTGATACCTTTTATGAGTTTTTTTGTTTTGTTTTGTTTTTTAAACTAGGTTATTCTGAAGGAGGAAAGCCTGCTTGGAGCCTCTTTATTGCCAGAGCAGAAAGTCTGAAAATAAAACCCTCTATCCTTTCTTTCCTTCTGGCTGAAAGTTAGCTAAAGATGGCTTTCCAAAATATGATATTCATTAGTTTGAAGTTCTTATTACAACTGGAAGAGTTAGTGTTATTTTTGCAATCCAACTTCTGGGTCAGGAGATTTTCATTTTTTCCTATTTGTTCTTCTGCATTGAAATGGGCCTCACTATTTGTCATTCACTTAAAATAATAGTTCAACTTTCACAGTTTGAAATATAATTTCAATACTAAGCATTCAGCACAGATTGAATTCTAATAGTTTTTTATAAAAATTTTTGTTTTCATTAAGGAGTCAGGTATTTCAGTAAAGGGTCAGACAAATAACTTAGGCTTTGTAGGCCATTAGTCTCTGTTGTTAACTACTTTGTCATAATGCAGAAGCAGCCATAGATGACACATGAATGAGTTTGCCTGTATTTTAATAAAACTTTGTTTAAAAAAAACCTGTCAGTGGGCCAAATTTGGCCCATCAAATGGTTTACCAACCCTTGCTTTCTCTCAAAGATGGGTTTTTAGATTGAGATTTTTATTCAAAACAGAAGTTTGATATAGTTTTTTTTTGTGATATACACCAGCTATATAAAAGTTACAAGTATAAAAACTAAAATGTATGTATATACAGTTAACCAAGGTAGATGTATTTGTTTGAAAGTGAAGTGAATGTAAAGGTAATGAAAATAATTAGTGGCTGAAGTAGATAGGTCTTTTGTGTGCTAAGGGTAATGCAATTTATGGAGAGATTAAAAATGAGATCAGTTGCTGTGAGAATTTATGTCCAGGTTAGATGAGAAATAGATACTAGTTCTTTTAGTGACTTGAAATCACTGGTGAGAAAAAGTAATAGGAATTCTTTAGGATGGGGGGAAATGGAGGTTAGCTGAAAACAGAATGTTGTATTAATTCCATGCAACTCACTTCAGATTTTTTCTTTTTAGTAAGATTCCTTTTCACCATTGACATCTGCTTACTTAGGATATGTCCCATTTGTGTTGAGGTGTTGGCTCTGTTCCTTGTCACAACAATTTGTTACGATCTTTGTTTTCAGCAAAGTGCCTTGGGGATCTCACCTGGTAAAACTTGCTGGGGGATGTTAGTTAAGAGTGCAGTATTTGCAAAAGAATTTCCCTATAATGGAGAGCTGAAATAGGATCAGCTTTGTTGATTTGGGTATTCATTGCTTTAAGTATGCTTCCTTTAATAACTAGACAAGAAGTAGCCAATATCTTGGAAGAGGTGTTTGATAATCATATTTGAATTATTTTTTGACTATTTCTCTGTCTAAAATGACTTCTGTTAATAAATGCCCCAAGTTTAAGAATCTTTTTTCTTTAAAAAGTGAACATCATAAATTATCATAGTGTAAACTTGAGTAATGTAGGAGGAATGTTAATGTACATCAATTTTGAAAATCATGATTTTAGTCAATGCCAAGAATGTACTTATAAAAAATATTAATGCCTAGTAGAAACATTTTTAATATGTTAAAAGAAGAATTCTTCCTTAATAATTTAGAGTCCTTCAACCAAAAGTGAAGGTTATATTCAGGTTGCAACTCAAATTGCCTCTTTCAATTAAGTAGTGAAACATAGGTGCCTACTGTCATCAGTTATTTCGTAACTTATTGCTATGTTATTGTAGGAAAGCAAAATGAAAACTTGGAGAGAGACCAAAATACTATTTGCAAATGACTTTATTTCAGTATTTTGAAAATCCAAGAGAGTACGTTGAGAAATAGTTTTCTGAACACTTAAGAGTAATCATTTGGGAGGCAATAAAAGAAGACCCATTTATAATAAGAGCCACAAAGTAAAAATTGTGTGAAGCTTCCAAAAGAAAAACCACAGAACCTAACTGGGAGAAATACAGTGTTTCTGGGTGTAAGGTTAAATATACTGCTGTTCAGAAGATCTCATTTTCCATTCTTGTGCCCACAGAAGGCTTGTATTGAATAAGGTGGTGGCGGCTGGGTAGTGGTGCCCATTGCCCCATTCCTAATTCATGCAGTATAAAAATCAGGACAGGGCAGCTACAGAACTGTGCAATCCCCCTTTCCCTCACAGCTCTGTTATAAGCGACTTAACCTGCTCTGGTTGGATTGGCAGTCATGTGGCAGCATACATCTCTCCCAGCTTTCTTGGGGCAGGAGAGCTATTGTATGTACATTCAGCAGCTGGTGAACCTTGGCACATTCTAGTCTCCTCCTATGCCTTCCCCAGCCACCAGCACAGGTGTTCCACAGGGAGTATTCAGGGAGCATTCAATGTAGACCCAGTTTCCCAACATTCCTCCACCCCACAACCTGCTCCATAGCACAGAGGCACAGGGGTCCTGTTCAGGGGAGGGTTGGAGTGAGCTTCAAAGATTTGGTAAACAGGCTGTCTGGGGCCTGACTTTATCTGGATCAGACTGGAGCAATTTATACCCTATAGTATTGTTGAAAACAATAGAGCAATCATCTAGCAGTTACTGAAGGCTAACAGTTGCTGGTGATACCACTAGATATCACTGAGAAGCTTAAAGATGAGAGAGAGAGAGAGAGAGAGAGAGAGAAAGTCTGAATAAAACTGCAGACGTCCTTTGTAATCAGAATGTGTGCATGCTCAAGGCTGCAACCGCATAGGAGCAACACTTGCTGAATGTAGGGCAAATCTTGTAAACTCCCTAAACAGTGAAAGCAGCCTCCAAGTCACAGATCCAATGGTAAAGGGTGTAAATCTCTTACTGATTCAGGGGGCTTAAGCACAACCTTTGATCAATCTGGCTGGTTGCTAGGTGGTGTTGACTTGAAAGCAACCCCTAGGAAGTCAGGCTTAAAGATAAAAATGAGGGGGAAACAAGTTGAGCAGTGACAACAGAGGGTGCATACTGTGAGGGGAAAAAGACTTGGTGAATTAGTTTAGCCAAATTACTAAAAACAAGTCCAGAGTGGGCGAGGAGTATGCAGAGATCCTACAATATGTTACCTAAAATGTCCAGCTTTCAATATAAAATTAGACATTCAAAGAAACAGCAAAGTGCGACATATGAGGGAAAAAGGCAATAGAAACTTCCTTTGAGGGGTACCAGATGTAGGATAAATGTTAAGCAGCTATTATAAATAGGTTCAAAGACCTAAAGGAAACCAGATTTAAGGAATTAAAGTATACTGACAATGTCTCATCAAATGGAAAATATTAAGATAGAAATTACAAAAAAAGAATGAAATGAAAATTCTTGAGTTGAAAAGTGTAATAACCAAGGTGAAAAATTTACTAGAGAGGCTCAACAGTAGATTTGAACTGGCAGAAGAATCAGCAAACCTGAAGATAGATAGAAATTGTGAAATATGAAGTACAGACAGAAAATAAAAATGAAGAAAAACAGTCTTCCTCACACCACATACACAAAAATTAACTCAAAAGGGAGTATAAACCTAAATGTAAGAAAAAACTATAAATCTTGTAGTAGAAAATACAGAAGTAAATATTTATGACCCTTGTTTAGTCAAAGCCTTATTAGACTTCTTCTTTGGTGTCATCACCAAAATCACAAATGAAAAAATAAGAGACAAAAGATATATCGAGTTTTTATTAGAAGAAGACATTGTAAAGCTGATCTATTTCACCTAGTTTGGATTAATACCAATTTAATTTCAATAATAAAAACTTTGCTCTGTAGCTTCATCTCTCCACCTCCCCCCATGCTGTTATTGTCACAGATTATATAGCTTTATAAATTGTGTGCCCATCAATGTAGATTTATAATTATTGCTTTATGCATTTTTCTTTTAAATGAGAGGGAGGAAAAGTTACAAGTAAAATGTATGTATTTTTTGTCTTTTATATTTACCTATGCTGGTATTTGTATTTACATTTATCAGTTGTGTATTTCTTTGTGTGGAATTGCATTACTATGTAGTGTCCTTTAAACCTGAAGAACTTTTTTTGTAGAACAGTTCTGCTAGCAATGTTTATCTGAAAATGTGTTAATTTTTCTTTCCTTTTTGAAGGTTAGTTTTGCTGAATATAGAATTCTTGGTTGGCAGTTTTTTCTATGCAGAACTTTGACTATGTCATCTCACTGCCATTTGGCTTCCATGGTTTCTGATGAGAAATCAGCTGTTAATCTTACCGAGAACCTTTTGTATGTGATGAGTCACCTCTCTTGCTGCTTTCAAGATTCTCTGTCTTTCAATAGCTTGATTATGATATGCCTTGTGTGCACATTTTAAGTTTATCCTACTTGAAGTTCTTGAAGCTTTGTGGGTTGATAGACTAATGTTTTTCATCAAATTTGGGAAGTTTTTATTTCTTTAGATATTCTTTCTGATGCTTTTTTTTCTCTCCTTCTGAGACTCACTTTTTTGTTTGTTTGTTTTGTTTTGTTTTGTTTTTTGCGGTACGTGGGCCTCT